TCCCCCGTCACCTACATCAGCAATCTTTCTTGTGCATATATTTGCTCATTGGCAAAATTCCACTTAAAAGGCCATCTCCAAATATAATAATAAAGAACTTTGTTCTGGAATTTACAAAGCATTTCCCACATAATTTCCCATTTTTTTTCTTATATTCACCCTGAAAAATAGACAGGGCAGGTGTATTAATTTGTATTTTGCAGATAAGAAAAGTGAAGTTCAAAGCTTTTGTCTTGTTAGCTGGTGATCATAAAGCTAATAAGGATGACTCGTGTCACAGAGCTAGTTAATGACAGAACCAAAGACATCTTCTTGTGATTTCAAATCCTGTGTTTCTCTGGTTTTCTTTGCAAACCTCCTGGGCTCCCAGCTTTAGTTGCTGACCTCTCTCTCCGTCCCTTCTGATGTTCCTTATGAGGAGTTGAGGAGGGTTATTACAAATTAAATATCTGGATGCTCGAACTGATGAACAGGAAATGAGGCTGCGAATGCTCAGAGGAATGAAACTGAGATGCATTTTTTTTAAAGTAGAATTTTGGGCCAAGTGGCCTCTTTCTGTCCTGCCCTTCCCTGTGTCCTTCCAGTCTCCATGGAAACCCCAAATCAATGCAGCATATGTTGATCCATGTTGCTACTGTTACCAGGAAGCTACAAAGTGGAAATTGCTTTTAAAAGATTTGCGGAAGAGCTTGAGCATCTGACCAGAATTCAAATCTAATATCTAAATGACTGTTTTATTAAAAGCTTTTAATGTGGTCCTATTCTAGGTGGTATGTTGATTAAATAAACACACAGGAGGCATTTGGCAATAAACCTCCTCTTCTACAAGCCCCAGCTTTTTAAAATATTATATTGCAGGCTTTAATTCTCTTTATCTTCAATTTAATTACATTTTCATGGCCTGTGTGGCAATGCCAGGTGCTCCTTTTGCTCTTGATTAATTCCACCCTGCCCTGACTAGGCTGTTGGGATAGTTTACAAAAGCCTTCTGTACCTGTACTGCTGCCCCTGAATTCCATTAGCATTCTGTTGACTTCAATACTGACCAGGATGTGCAGAAGTCTAACTCGTTTCTGCTATAAGGAATGCCTGGTGATTTTTTCAGATTTTTTTTTTTCATGAACACAAAATCAAATTCGGCAGACTTATTAAACACCTGCTCCATCTGAGGCAATGAGGATTGATAGCATGGAGTCTGTCTTTTTGGAGTGAATAGTCAGTTGGGAGGATCAGAAACTATCCATCAAAAGGGTCAACGAAGACGGATGGGGGCTATTGGAATCATTCAGCAAGTTGGTGGCACTGGTATGAAGGGGCTCCTCCTGTTTGAAAGAGTTCTGAAAAAGCTTGGGAAGGGAAGTTTTAGTTTACAGATGATGGGTTTAGAAAAGGACTGGGAGTTACCGGGCAGATGGAGGGTGGGGACATTCTGAGCAGAGGGAGCTGCAGAGAAAATCAGGTGCATGGGTGCATATGTGTGTGTGTGTGAGAACAATGAGATATAAAGCTGGATGGGTAAACAGGACCAACTATTGTTAGGCACAGCATGGAACTGCAATGGAACCTACACAGATTATTATAGAGATGATCTGCTTTATGGTGCCTGTTCAGTGGGTAACTGATGGTTGTGCGGTGTGTGAGGTTTGTGGCTGGCTGGGGAAGGAATGGGCAGGGAGATCCAACTTGTAAAGGGGAGGATGCACACTGTATTATGAGCTGCATAACCTCTGACTGCAGGGCCCATGGATGGGAGGGACTGAAGTTAGGAAGTATTTCAAATATATAATGAAGAGATGTTAAAAACAATTCAACCAGAGGAACGGAGAAAAAGAATTCAGAAATATTTGTACGTCTAACCCCAAGGGACTTGAGTAAAGTGATGTCGGGAACAAGCAGAGAGTCCTGCAGGAATGGGGGATTGGGAGAAGAGGGGTGGTTCTTCCCCATACAGTGGCGCCTGCGGGTCTGGGGCATGAGGAGCTGTCCAGCACATCTCTGGATGAACAGCCTGGAGCTCCCTAGAAGTAGGACTGAAGACCTGAGGAGCAGAAGTGTGCACCTGGAGCGGGCAGGTTTCCCAAGAGGAGTGCTGTAGAAATAGCAAGAGCAGAGGGGTGCAGGGCAGCCGGAGGAATCAGAGTGGGGCTTGTCTTCAGGTTTCTGGGAAAAATCAGGAATCGCGGCCAGTTGGGATGTCCTGTGCCATCTTCAGCTAGTAAGCCAGAAGCAGCATCCAGAAAAGAATGGAGAACTTGACCTTTCTGGCCAGGGCTGTAAGCCTGGGGGCTGCAGAGGACAAATGGATGTGCTCCAACCTCCTGGCACTCAAACTCACCAGTCTTTCCCTGTCTCCTTCCTTCAGGGAAGAAGACCATGTTAGAGGACTTAACCTTAGGTTCAGCCTGATGATATCCCCCTGGAATTCCTTATGCACCATCTCTTTGGAATATTACGTTAGAGTTCTGTAAGAAGGTACCTGGACTAGGTCTGTATTTCTCAAACTGGGGTGCTTTGGAGTTCCCTAGTGTTTAAATGTTTGGGCTGGTTTTCATTTTCTCTCCTTCTTCCTGTTCTACATATCCACACACTCTCGTCTCTCTGCTCTTTCTAAGCTCATTCTTTTCTTCAATGTGGTTTATTGACTTCCTGTGACTATATTATTTCTCTAAAGGCTAATTGAGGATTCTGATGGCTGGTTAATATTGATCAGCTTCCACTTGAGACTTGAGCCCATCTGCAGCCCTGCCCTCTCTCCCCAATCCCTTTCCATCCTGGATATCAGACTTGGCAGCGGGAGACTAGGAGGGGGTTTTCATGATGCCATCTTTGTGTTAAAGTGACGGGCACAGCAGCACTGAGTTTGACATCAGACCTCCGCTCTGCCACTTATAAATGACTTGTCTCTGTTTTCCTACCTGTAAAAGGGGCTGATAAAGATGCTGACCTTGAAAATTGTTGTGAGAATCAAATAACTCAAGGACCAACTATTGTCAGGCACAGTGTGGAACTGCAATGGAACCTGCACAGATTATTGTACAGGTGATCTGCTTTATGGTACCTGTTTAGTGGGTAACTGACGGTTGTGCAGTGTATGAGGTTTGGGAATCACATTGTCTGGCCCATACTAAATGCTTATTAAACTTGAACTATGCACATTAAATATTAGCTCTGTGAATTTACCTTATGTTTTAAATATATCCTAGTCTAGGGATGTGCTTATCCATGGGCTTTTATTTATCAGTGTATTTGTGTATCAGTTTCCTTACATACACTGTGCCGAAAAAATGCCCAGAAGTGAAGGATTCTCTTTCTGCTTAAGTTCTAAATTCCAGCTAGCATCAGGGTTCAAGACAGGAGTTACAAGGAATGGAAAACTTTTGCATCTTGTTTTGTAGCACAAAATTTCCTTGGCCTTATCAAGAAGCACTGTGGCCATTTTCAGAGAGAGACAATGAGTCACTATGGAGCTAGCATCAGAATTTTTATTTCATCCTATCATCAGGCAATGAATAGTTGCGGCAGAATCATTCACTGTCAGAATATAGGTTCAGCACCAATAGATCTGCCCAGAAAGACTGGGTTGTGGCATGACGTAGGAGAAAAAGCTCTGCTGTTAGAGTCACAAGACACAAATTCCTTGTGCTGCCTCTTATGCATTGCGTTGCTTTGAAAAGAGCCACTTTACAATTATTAGCCTCAGTTTTTTTCATCTGTAACTTGGGAATAATAACACCCTCTCTGACCATGGCATGTGATTGATGAGTGTCAGTATGTGTCCTTTATGCACTGTAAGAGATTAAGCAAATGGAATCTATTACCTTTATTATAAAACCATTACTTTCTGTAGAGATTTCTGTTACCTGCTGGGTTTCAGAAATGACTTGCAGCTAGTCTAGGTGTACTTGGAACTGGTCGATTCCTGGGGGAAAATGAAGACTCAGCCTTAGAAACCCAGAATGTAATGAACAGAAGGCAAGCTTTATCCCAGAGCAGTGGTTTGCAAACTTCAGCCTGCATCAGAATCACCTGGAAGGCTGAGCACGGTCCCCAGAGTTTCTGATGCTGTGGGTCTGGGTGGGGCCTGAGAACTGGCATGTCCCACACATTCCCAGATGCTGCTGAGACTGCCCGTCTGGGCACCAGTCTTTGAGAACCACTGTACGGGGGCAAGCAGGAAGGCTTCCTTGTGGAACAGAAGCAGGCAGTGTGAAAATCCAGGTGGGTAAGGAGGCTTGGGAGAAAAACTGGAAAAGAGACAGAAAATAGGGAAGATGTGTGCAGATAGGGCAGAACAAAGAGAAAAGTCGCACTCCATCACAAATGCAAGTAGGGGAAGTTGCTAGGTGATGGATGAGGGAGAGAGGTGAGTTTCTTCTGTAGGAAAAACCAGGTGAGAGGCAGGAGCACAGGGTTGGAAATATGCACGTTTGGGGAGGCGGAGGAGGTGGAAATTTCTCATTAAGAAGTGGGGAGCCGTTGGTTGGCACTGGTGGGGGGTGGGAGTGGAAATGGGCTGGGGGAGAGGTGCCTCTGTAGAGTAAGGGGACAGATGAGATGTGGCAGAGAGGGGTAATTTCAGGGCTGTGTGGTTTGGCTTGGTAGTGCAGCACAATAGAAACTGGGAGAAAGGGGGTGGAATTTAGATGTGTGACCTGCCCCGTAGCTTTCTTGCTCTCTGCATTTATCACATCACATCACACCCAGCAAGACAGCCCCCCTCCTCCTGGCTCATTAGGAGATTTGATTCGGCTTGGCTCCTGCTGTCAGCAGCTGTCTGGGGCAAGATCTTTATGCTCCCTGCTCCCTGTGCAGCAACGAGCCTTCAACCAGCAGCAGAGCTCATTAGAAGAGGGTCCTCTGGACACTTGATTTTCAGCTCTTTGGTGGCCCGAAAGAGTTAATACCTACTCTTCGCTGGGTGCAGAGAGGCGGCTGTGGGCTATGGAGACTTCTCCCTGAGCTGCAGCCAGAGGAGCTGCAGGTTAGTGAGGCTGAGGAGGAAGGTGCGGGAAACGTGCCAGGTCAGCTCTGCTCAGGGGCACCTCTTGCATCCTGCCAATGAGGATGGGCGTGCAGACCGTGCCCGGGAGCCGAGCTGCCGCCTGCTGGGTGTAGGCTGCTTCAGTGTTTACTGGATGTGACAAGCAGAGAGAAGAGCTTTCAGCAGGGCCGCTTGCTGCCTGGCTCAAGTGGTGGGAGGTGTGTTGTGCACGCATGCCTGTGTATGTATGTGTGCGCGAGCTTGTGTCCATGCAAACATGCCCTTCTCCTGCCAAGGACTTCACTGCTAAAAGCAAGCTCTACTCTTTCCTCAGAGCTCCTTAACCCACAGCCTCTCTCATCATCCAGTTGGTAAAGACCTGCAGGCCATGAGGACTGGTCAACGACAGTGAGTATTGCTTTTGCTTTTCTCTTTCCTCCCTGGGGTGTCCGTGTGCACCGATTGCATTATCCATATTTAATTAACCTGCCTCTTCATGCATATTGATTGCTTTCTCCCAGTTGAGTCTCTTAGTTTCTCTCCCCTTCTTTTAACCTGTTTTTTTCCTTGAGTATCCTTTTTTCCATTATGTCCCATCCTGTCTGCCCCAGAGTCACCTGTGAGGTGGTGTTCACTTACCAGAGCATACTCGCCTATGGGTGCAATCACATCTTTGAACTTCCTGGGCTCTGGGCAACCCCTTGATTCCACCCTCCACCCCCCAAAAGTCTAGGACCAATTGGGATAAGAGCCCCAAGGTGTCGAAATGGTCAAAGCAGCTGGGTTGGAGTATATTCCTAGTTCTCATTTAATGGAATTCAAGGTTGAGCTCATCAAAGGATCAGTGGGGGTGGGGGGGCGGGGCTGAGGGGCAATTTGGGCAGAGCTGGATTTGGAAGACAGAGAGACAGGTGTCTGAACAGCATGGGCAAACCAGTGTGGGCTGGCAGTGAGGATGGGAGGACGACCAGGCAGGAACAGAGGTTGAGTGGTCTCCTGCCCTAAATGACCTTGCCTGTCATATGTGGGTAGTAGTCTCTGGTTGCGCTCAGCTCCAGGATAATGGAGGCCACCGGCAGGGGCTTCCCCAACTCCTGGGGGAGAATCCCATAAGCAAGGTGCCCCAAGAATGATTTGTAGGGGCCCTTACCATTGTAAAGGGCTTTGATTTCCTGACTTCTGGGCAAGCAGGTGTAAGCCCAGTTTGGACAATGATTGGGGGAAGTATTTCTAGTGTTGGGGAACACAATTTCTATGGGGATGAGTCTTTGCATAAAACCTAATTTTTTCCTCTTTTAGTTTTAGCAAAGCATTCTTTTTAAATTTGTTAATTATAGTATTATTAGGGGAGCAATTTAAAAAAAGTATTTGTGAAATGTTCAGGGTAATACCAAAATAATTTAAATGGCGTAGCTCACATAGGAGCCTTATCTATCTAAATTAGGTTTCTTTGAAAATGGATTCTATGTTTGGTGTCAGAGTTCCCCAGGGGAACCCTTTATGGATAGGCTGCTCTCTTCACGTGTTCCTTCCTATCAGTTCTCTTCTGTGGGAACAAAGGGCCTGAAGTATTGAGAATGGGACCCTCAGGAGAGAGACTATAACTAGTCAATCAGCCTTCCACCTCAGTATCCTCTTCTCCCCGCCCCCTGTCCTCCCTCCTCGGGTCAAGAGTAGGCCAGTCCTCAGGCTGAGGAAGGTCACGCAACCTCCATATGGGCCTGAAAGAGTGACTTGCATATTCATTTCTTCAGGCTGAGCCTGTCATCCCTGTAAAGGAGCGAGCAGGGTCCCTGAGAGGGCTCCCTTGGAGTTGCTCCAACCTCCCTCCTGCTCCCATCTCCCAAGCCTTAACACACTCCCACCTGGGACAGAGCAGCAGCCAACCACATTATTCTGGAGCAAGGGCTGCCCCCCTCCCCCTCCCTTCCTGGCTGGTCACTTGGGCCCCACTCTAGTAAGAGAAAGAGAACAGTGATTTTTGGTTTGTCAGGCCCGTGTCTCCCTGGAGGCACGTGTCCCACTTTCTGTTGATGGCCAGTGGTTGGGGAGGTAGGGACTTCCTACCAGTGGTCAACGGAGTAAAGCCACCCAACCATTTGTTCTTGTCCATCCTTGGTTGGTCACCCCTGCTAAGGACAAGTAGGCATTTGTGGGAGCTGGGGTGTGGGGAGGTGCTCCATTAGTGGATAGTCCTCTGAAGGAAATGTGTAGTCAGATGAGAGAGGGTGGCCCCTCTTACAGCAGATTCTTTGATTTTAGGTGAGAGGACGTGAAAGGGTAAATCCCTGACCCCCGCAGTCTTATTTGCTGCCCCGACGTCCCAGCAAACCAGCCCAAGGGTTAACCGTAAGCGGATGCCTGTATGGCTGCCTTACTGATGCCACGCAGGTAATGGATCCATGACCTTTCTTGTCCCTGTCCTCTCCTCTTTTCTCCACTTTCCCACCTCCCCTGCTGTGCGAGCCTGGCCCAAGCCTTAAGCCCCTGGGTGGTCCACTTGCCTCTGTCCCCCAGGCCTCTGTGTGGACTGAGCTGCTCTTGCCTGTGTGCTTCTTGCAAAGCTGGGGTTTTGCAAGCAGAACTTGCCTTAGCTCCACTCTCCCGCTGACTGGTAGGACCTCTTGGCTGTGACTGGTGGGGTGGAGCAAGGGACTGTGCATGAGCTTGTATGGAACCATTTAAGACCTCTGTAATTTCCTGGGGTGGAAGACGGGGGAAAGTCTAACTTTTTATTTTTTAATATATATTTTTTTATTTATTAGTACTGGGGATTGATCCCAGGGATGATCTACCACTGAGCTACATCCCCAGCCCTTTTTATTTTTTATTTTGAGACAGGGTTTGTCTAAATTGCTCAGGGCCTTGCTAAGTTGTTAAGACTGGCCTTGAACTTGGGATCCTCCTGTCTCAGTCTCTTGAGTCTCTGGAATTACAGGCCTGTGCCACCATGACCTGTTTTTCTTCTTCTTCTTTTTTAAGTAACTTAAAATTTTACCTTTGTTTCTCCCATTATTTGAGCTCTAACTAACTTATTAAAAGATTACAACTTGGGTCTCAGCTAGAAAAGTGGAAAATAAAAAAAACATTTTGCCCCAAAGAATATTTAAAAAATTTTTTTAGTTATAGATGGACCCAATACCTTTATTTTATTTATTTTTATATTATTTGTTTATTTTTATGCGGTGCCGAGGATTGAACCCAGTGCCTCATACATGCTAGGCAAGCACTCTGCCACTGAGTTACAGCCCCAGCCCTATTTTATGTATTTTTATGTGGTGCTGAGGATCAAACCCAGTGCCTCACGAGTGTTAGGTGAGCTCTCTACCACTGAACCACAACCCCAGCCCCGAAAGAATATATTTTGTTGAAGACTTTTTCCAGTGGTTTGGGAGAGTCACGTTGTCTTGGTAACAAGTAGCCCCCCCTCACATTGGCCCATGCTAAGCCTTCTTAAATGGCTTGTGTGAATTTGCCACTTTTTGAGAGTCCATTAATTGCCCTTCGGGGGCAGTACCTGACTGTTTTATGACTAATGATCCCCAGGCCATTGGGACGAACTGCCTGGCTGGAAGTCGAGTTTCGTCTTGGTACAGCATGAGTGGGACCTTTAACTTGAATTCACAGAACTGGATGACTCCAGAGCCACTTCAATCAGCTGCTTGCATAGCTGTTGTTGGGCACCCTGGGGTTTGTAAGAGTGAGTGGACACATGAGATGTTTGCTGTCTCAGGAGAGGCGATGTCTCTCGCCGATGTTTTGAAATGCCAGTAGATGACTCTGGTGTGGTCCGGCGGAGATCAGAGATGGGAACAGGGATGTGCAGGCCAATTTTCTGCAGGAGAGAGAATATTTCTGGAAACTTGGATGTTCCAGCCCTTAGAGGCTCTTTGGAGATGTGCTGTAGCATACAAATGTTGTCCATCCCTGCCAAATATAATGCCAACTCAGTGGAAGACATTTGTAGGATGAGATTTCTGTGAACAAAGAGAATTACAGGGTCAGGGATGGAAACCCATTTGAGCCAAAGGAAGTGATTGAATTGGATGATCTTTAAGGCCTCTGCCTAGACCCAGGATTGGGAAAAGGAGGGAAAGAAAGTCTGGCCAAAGGACTTGCTTACAATGGGGGAAACGGCCATTTCTGTTGGTAATTTGGACCATTTCCATGGTAATTGGTTACCCATGTGCACGTGGCATTTCCTTTTATAAGTTAATCTGAAGCCCTGATCTGATCAAAACCCCATCTACTTACCTTTGCCCTCAACAGGAGGAGTTACCATGGATAAAGGTCAGGGGTTAGCAAACTTATTTTGTCAAAGGCTAGAGAGCAAATATTTTTCAGTTGTTTGGGTTAACTACCTAACTTCACCCTTGTCGTTGAAAGCAGCTTTAGATAATATGTAAACAAACGGCGTTGTTGTGCTCCAATAAAACTTTATGTACGTAAACAGGCACCTTGGAGGGCTTTGGTTTGCCAACCCCTGGTTAAAAGGTAAATAAGGGTTAATGTTGAGAGTCAGAAACGGTGGGAAAATTTCTCATTGGATCCTGTTACCTTGTGGGTCCTTCGGAAAATAAAAAGTATGAGAAATTAAACAAAAGTGTTAAAAATTTAAATATGCCCATTGACATAAGCCAAAGTATGAATAGGAATACAGGAATTTAGTTAAGCAAGTGTAAGAACTAATGAAGGAGATCTTGGTTCTTAATTGTGGATTGTGTTAACTGCCTTGCCGCTCCCCTGTAGACATCAATCCCTGAGGTCCGCAGCCATTCATTCCTATATAATCTATGGGTGGGATGAGTGGAGAGAACCCGAGAGGGAAATGACCAGCCTCCAAGCCCTAGGCTTTGCGCCCTGACTCTCTGATGTGCACTCTGCCTTCTGCAAGCTGTCCTTCCCTGGTGGTGTGGAACTACTTCTGGGGTTTTGCAATTAGAAGCTGCTGCTGCTGCTGCTGCTACTTTGCCCTCCTGGCAGGAAAGCAAAATGTGGATTGTTATTTTGTCACCACTGTATTTCCTTTCCCTACAGAGAATCCTAATTTAGAAATTCTTCCAAGCTAATGACCTTCATTGACTTACTATCAACTTGCCGTGTCAGCTTTAAAAAGCATTAAGCCTCTAGAGTAGGGTAGGGTACCTATTAGCAGTCACATTAAGGAGGGAGGAGAGCCCTAGACTCTAGGTGCTCTCTTCTGGTTCTTCAGGGGTCCCCTGGGGGTAGGGGGACAGTGCTGGCTCCTGCAGCCGCAGTTCCAGGGGCCCTTTGGAGCTGACAACTATGATCGTGACAGTCCCGTCCTTCTGCCCCCGTGCTTGTTGCAGGAACAAAGGCATGAGGACTCGACTGGGCTGCCTGTCTCACAAGTCAGACTCATGTAGTGATTTCACAGCTATTCTTCCCGACAAACCCAACCGTGCTCTCAAGTGAGTAGTATGGCGGCCTAGCGCTCCTGGGGTGCCCACTGCGGGGTGCCCACCATGGGGTTATATAACCCATTCTTTTCTGGTTGCTGACCAGATAAGCCACAGGACAATAAATTCCTGCCTCTTGGCAGCTGCTTTAATATCCCTGAGCATGAGTGAAAGGAATGTATGGCTTAGCGATGTTGGAATAGGAACCCTCCTTTTCCTCCAAAGAAAACCATACCCCCCATCACTCACAAAGCTGTGGGTGGCGAAGGATACTTCTTGGTTCTACTTAGTTGTCAATCTGAGCTCTCAATTTGGAAATAAACACTCAAACCTACTCTAAAAATATGCTTAGATTCAGATGATCTGGATTCCCCGCCTATTCTGTGCAGGCACTGTGTTAAGTGATGTCACAGGTGTCGCCTCATTTAACCCTCACACAGCTCAGAAATGGGCATGATTTATCTCTGTTTCAGCGGGGAAGATATCAAGGTGACAGTCAGAGATGGAGTCACGAGCTGAGCCTAACTTTTCTGACTCTAAGACCAGTTTCTTTCCACCGTTACTTTGATGTCTTTAAACCAGTTAATTCACTTCATTGTTTAGACTGAAAGTTGATATACAGAATTTCCCAAATTCCCACCTTGAAGTTTTTCCAACCATCACTTAGGAGTGCACAAATTTATAGCCACTGAATTGCAGAATTCAGGTCTGGTCTTCATTTGTCCCCTCTTGTGCCTACTTATCCCCTTGGGCAAATTTCAATGGTGTTTGAGGGAGAGGAGGTCATTTCAGAAATATTCAAGAGTGGTGTCTCTTCTTTCCTAGGAGGTTATCCACAGAAGAAGCTACAAGGTGGGCAGATTCCTTTGACGTGCTTCTTTCTCATAAATGTAAGTAGAATTCAGGTGGCCTCACGTTTCAGCGAGTCATTCATTTAATAAAAGTTTGCACCAGATAGATGCCTCTGGGGCGCCAGGTACTGGGTGAGGCGGTCCAGACCTGTGTGGGTCCCCTACTCACAAAGCCTTCTGGAGGAGCACAAAGATAAGAAAATGGATAATTTACGTGTAGAGAGATGAAGGTCATCTGTTTTCTGGATTCAAAGTATGGTCCTACCATATTCCATGTTACAGCAGTTGAGTTGCAGGAATCCAGGTATGTGGGCTGGGGGTATAGCTCAGTTGGTAGAGTGCTTGCCTCACATGCACAAGGCCATGGGTTCAATCCCCAGCACCACACACAAAAAAAAAAAAAAAAAAAAAAATCCAGATATGATCTTCATTTGTCCCCTCTTGTGCCTAGGTGTTCCCCTGAGCAAATCTTAGTGGTGTTTGAGGGAGAGGAGGACATTTCAGAAATATTCAATCAGCAATTTTATTCAATCAGCAATTTTAACAAAAGAGAGTTTAGTTTAGGGGATTGGAGTGATGGACTCCATGGTCTGAGAGACTCTATGTTCCATATGGATCTTGTTTATAAAATTAAATGACCTCTCTGCAGGTCATTGAAGAATCTTGGGCTCGGTATTTACTCAAGATAGAATTTTGACTTTTCTTGTTCTGTTTTGAGGGATGACTGCCTCAGCTGCATCGAGCCCCCAGTTTCTGACTGGAACACAGCCTCTGCTATCCCTCTTCCTCTCCCATTTCCTCTTTGTCTGTGGTATCTTTTATTTGCTGCAAAGACAGAGAGAGTTATCCTGTTGTGGTATGGGGATGGAGTTTGCTATCAGTCCAACTTTCCAGCTCTTTCTCTGTTTTCTTTCTGAGCAAGTCCAAAGTTGTTGGGCTTTGAAGTCCCAGTGTCATTAAATAACAGGATGTTGTACAGCAGGGATGGGGAAGAAAAAAAGGGGTGCTGTAAGATTTGGAAGGTCTCAGGTAGGCATTTGGTGTTCCCCTTAATGTGTCATGTCAGTCATGTCAGTGACTGGTTTGGGAGCAGGGGTGTTTGGCTGTTGACTCTACCTAACTGGGGAACATGGTTTGTACAATTAAGTTAAAGGTGCTGGGTGGGAGTCAGACCTGTCCCCAGTTCCAAGTCAGCCTGATATAGGTGGGTGGTCTTGATGGAGACCCTTGGTCTTCAGAAGATGTCTCTAGGAGTGATTTTTTTCTTTCCACTTGAAGAGTTTCCTCTGACTCTGCCCTTGATTCTTAATAAACTTCTTTTGAATTGATTTTAAAATAAAATGCATAATCTAAGAATAAGCACATATTGTAACAAGTAATTTCGTGAGACAAATAGTCATTTTAGTATTCCATGGGTTGTACTTAGACAGGAAAATAAAGCAGCATAGATACAGCATACATACCATATGGCTAAACCCCACACAGCAAGCTTACGCCATGAATTTAGCAAGGTAACGGCATATGTATGATAACATTTAGGATTCGACAGTAATGCCTTTCTTTCTTTTTTTTAAATGAGGCTATTCTGAAGATTTTTCTGGGGTTGAATTTGCCAAAACAAGTGTCACTACCAATTTATGCTGCCTTTTCTGGCTGGTTTTGATTCAAGGTCATCCTGAAGTTGAATTTCTATTTCCGCCTCACAATGGATTCACTTAGATCAAGTCCCTGAGGCTGTTTCCTCATTCTAAAATGGGGTTAGAAATACCTGCTTGCTACCTGTCACCTGCATATGAGAAACTTCATAAGTGAACAGACGCCTTTAGAGGATTCTGGGCTCTCTGTTCAAAGATATGTATAAGGATAAGGTGGTAATTTTAAAAAATGATTTTTAAAAATTTATCAAATGTAAAATAAATTATACCTTGAGCATAAGGTTGCAAATTTTTGTAGTCAGTGATTAATATTAAGCCCTTATAGACAAGTTTATGGAGGTGAAATTAGGTACTGGAAGCTTGGGGTGCATTTGTATTGTGGCAGTGGCAATACCTGGAGATTTAAGAGGTTTAATTTTATTTGCTCAATTCAGTGTCTCTTAATCTGAAGATACTTGTTTCTGCGTCTGTCAGAGATGCTTTTGTTTTCCAGGAATGCAAGGACACTTTTCTGAGATGGGGTTTGGCTAAGGAGTCTCAAGCTGACACCAATTTGCTTCTTTGTCAAATAACGACAGAAATGGGCTTTTTGAGCTTTGAAGTTCTATGATCTTTCTTGGAATCTGATTTTCTGTTTTTATCTCTGTTAGTTTGGAATAAAAAGCCAGTGGAATGAATGTCCTTGAGAAGAAAGGAGTCCTTGTTAAGAATCACTGGTAGAATCTCAAGCTTTTAGAACTTGAACATGAATGTTTACCCCTCTGTGGGGCTACAGAGGAGTTAGAGGCCAGCTTACTTTGAAGGGTGTTGACAACTTTCTAAAAGTCTAATGAATTTGGGTTGAAGTTGTGACTCAATCAGGACTGATTAGCTTTCCCAAGGGGATTGTACATGTGCTAGTCCCTTAGGAGGGATGGCTTTGATGAGATGTGTGCAGAGCTTTCAATTAAGACAGAAAACATCCTAAGAAGTAGAAAGTAGAGTCCCCGAATGACTGAGCTCTAGAAAACATGCATTAGTCTGGAACCCACTCCCTGGCAATTCTCCACACGTGGGCGGCTGTCCTCCCTAAGATTTTTATTCCATGAAAATCTGGATAATTATAGAATACCTTTGTTATCCCTCCTCTGCCTAGATGTTTTGGCCACTCATTTATTTTTTAAAGGAGGTACTTAGTATTCATTATGTACAAAATCTATACTATGCAGCTGGGATAGGGCACAAAAATCAACAGGACACAGTTCATGCCTGGTGGAGAATGTAGCTGTCCGAGGAGACAGGCATGTATACGAATAATACAAGAAAAAAATAGAGTGTGTGACCACATTGTAGGTGGCCTTGAGATTTCAAATGGAATCCTGACATTCATCGACCCTCTTAAATTCTGTCCTGTCCATATTAGAAGTGTTGGAGCACAAGGACTGCTTTTAGTTTAGAGCATGGTTTCCAGTTCACCGGAGAACAGGTATTTGAACAATTAAATGAATAGCACTGACTGAGAGTCAAATCTATGTTCCTGATTTTGACCCAGCTCTGCTACTGGATAATTGGGTGCCCTTGATGGAGTACTATTTAGCCTCTTGAAAAATCTGTTACCTCGTATTTACAGCTGGATCCAGTTCTACCCCCTTGTCCTGGGGTGTTCTGTAGCAAATGTGGGGGCTGGACAGTAACCAATCACCTACAGCAGGTGGTTTGACTCAGCGCTGCCTGTAGGCTTATGTAAAACTGCCTCAAAGCTGAAATGGCTCCAGCTACCAGAAGGGGGACCGAGGTGCCCCTGTTCCAGGCTTCTGCCCTCCTTGGCACAGTACCTCCTTGGCAGAGCAGTTCATGGGCTCAAATCTCAGGCAAAAGGAAAGCAACTTTGCTATTTCTTAAGGTTTAGAATTAAAAAAAAATCTGGAAGGCAAATATTTGGAGTAGTTTTATTTCCAATCATATTTGTTTACAAATGCAATACAAAGAGGAAAGGCACCCAAGGAGGCCTAGGAGGTAACCACTAGCTAAGTGCTCATTTTTTTTCTTTGTAACTGAACTTGAAATTGCTGATGGCTTCATTAACTAGGAAGGGTTTCTAATGTATGTTAATTTGGCATCTTTTCCCACTAACAATCAGACTTGGTGTCTGTGAGTTGTGCACGCATTTGCCCCAAGGGGTATGTGTGTGTGTGTGTGTGTACAAGTGTGTATCTGTGCACACATATGAGCCCCCAGAGGTCTTTCTGCTTTGCAACTCATACCCAGGAGAATGAAGCTTCCTCTTTTGGGTGAGATCTTTACTGACAGGTTGCTAGAGGACAGGAACAAAATAATTAGTCTTCTGTTTTCATTCTTGATGCAGTTCAGGCATATGCTGTGATTTGTCCAGCTTCTCGAGGGACATGCTGTGTCTGAATAAATTCTCCCTTTCTCTCTCCATTCTTTTTTGTCTCCCGTTTCCATTTCTCATTCCTTTTTCTTTGTACAAATAATTGGACTCATTCTAGTTTTAAGGTACAGTGGTAGGCTGCATTTCTTTCCCTTTTCTTTCACCTGACCCCACACCCTGCCTCACTCTGGGCATTTGTTTGGAAGTTGGGCCTTGCTTCATCGTTTGCACAGAGCATGGAGGGTCCATGCTGACCTGTCCCCATCTGGCCCAGGGCACACTAAGTGCAATAGGACAATGTTTTGCATTTGCAGAGTGATCATTTATCTTTGAGAAAACGAGACCAATAAAGAAGCTTTGAGTTTCTAAAAATTAGCTCCCTTTGAGATAATGATTGAGATAAAAAATATATAATGACTTGAAGTGGTCACACAGTCACCAAGCAGAAAACCCCAACCAAATAAACAAAGACCAAGTTATCGGCTCATTAAATTTCTTAAAGTATTCATTTAAATGCCCTTTAAGTCTAGAACACACAGTTTCCATTCACTGCCCCTCCATAACCCTCTCTAAGCCAGAAGATTCTGGAATCGTGTTATTCAAAGTGAGATCCAAGGAAGGTAGCACCAGCTCCTGTCCGGAGCTTATGAGAAATGAGCATTTTGGATCCTGTTTCAGGATCCCCAGAATCAGAACCCCTGGGGTGTTTTTTCTACCAGCCCCTTAGGAACGTCTGTGCACACTGGGGTACAGCAAGGGCTGTTCTCCAACACACTCAGGAAAACATGAGTCTGGAGCTTGCTGTCGGAGCAGGTGGCCCTGGCTTTCCAAGAAACACACAAAATACTGTATCTTGTATTGCTGCTTTCTGCAGCTCTCAGGCTGTGTGGGCCTCTAACCATCCAGCATGTGGCACGGATTCCATGTAGGTAGGGAGGAGGGTCAACAGGACATCAACAAAGATGACCTGTGTGTTTTCTGGAGAAACTGAGGTGGAGGGCGTGGAACAGATA